TCCCCCCTCCCCCTTCCTCTCCCCCCTTCCTCGGGACATGGTCACCTCACCACAGTCCTAGATACAATGGAACCCAGGGATCTTGGGCTCAATCGCTGAGATCGTGAGCCAAAACTCATCTTACCTTCTTTTCTTCTCAGACATTTTGTCATAGTGATAGAAAGATAGCATAATGCTCACAGATCAAGGAAATTTAATGTTCATGTTCTCAAACGTGGCAGTTACTCATGATGGAGTAACACCCCATCTGAAAGTCCAGCTTCTGAGGAAGAGTCTGTCCATTGGGTCTGGGATGCTGTTTCCTGGGCATATTTATACCTTACTTTAATAGATAAACATGGAGTTGATACTGAAATGTATAAAGATTTAGTGAAGAGTTCTAGGAGGGTTTTATTATATCCTTACTTTGTATAGTTAACTATCCCAGGTAAAATGAACACTTGTCTGTGATAATAATTAAGAATTTACCTTGATCTCCCGCAAAGCATCGTTATTTAATTTTCCCAGTGCTGTGTGATGAAAAATCAATAAGTAAGCCACTATAATTTTCCATTATTTTGTCTTGGTTTTGTTTCTAATAGATTTTTTTTTGCGATATCTATGTTTGTCCATTATCTGCTTTGACGCAAACATCACATTATTTTACTATGTTGTAATGTTCAATAAGAAACCCACGTTAATAATTGTTCTCTTGACAAAATTGTTACTCTTTTAAACAAAATTTTTTAAAAAGTCCTCTCTGCATACTGTCGTCGGGTATCCCTCACACAGTTGTGCTATCTTACAGCAGTTCCTCAGCTCAAGCGGTGCCGAGACGCCTGCAATCAGGGTTAAGCTGGAAGTCCTTCACTCACCCACAAGGCCCTCAGATGAGAGGGCGCCGGAGCCACAGCTGTGCTCCTGCCGGGCAGAGTGCAAATCCTTCTGAGTGCGCCTCACACGCTCCGTGTTCTGACGCAAAGCTGCACTGCGTCTGCGGTGGCTGAACCTGCTCTCCTTCGCGTTGAACCTTTCCTCAGCCTTGTTCTGCAGGAAGCTCAATGTTGACTGTACAATAAGCATCCGCGCAGTGCCCTCCTCGGGCTGAAGCCTCCACCGTCAACTGGTGGCTCGAACACTGCTGTCCGCCAGATTGCTCTGGAAGCCTTGGAGGACACAATTCGACAGCAGTTTACCCTGTAAAATTTTACACTGAAAATTCGGTTTTGCTGGATTTTACGTTTGTTGACATTTATTTTTCTTTTAGTATGCAGATTAAATACGTCCCTCTTGATAACAAAACATTTTGGGCGGCTTTTCCAGGCTGTGCTTCCTCCTTGTGCTGGGGCTGCAGGGGCCGACTTACCACTCAGTCTTGCTGCCACCGTTGTCCATGAGTTTTTGCTTTTGCTAAACAGTTGTGCTGTCTGTTTTTAGGCTGAAATTAAAAGAGATTAAGTGATTATTATTGCCATATGGCAAGAATCTTCCTTAATTAATATTTCATCATATGTTTTAATATATTATTTATTGGGAAAGTTTCTCTGGATATCCAGCTCACTGCATTGCTAGATCAAAAATTCTTTCCAAGAATTTAAATTTTCTGAGATCATGGGAATATTCAGATTATTTTTCTTTTATCTAATTATTAGGCTTTTTCTGCTTGTTTTGTAGTTTAACTCAGTTATTTGACTTGCTTTCCTTTTTACTTGGTCATTTGGAATTACACAATCATGTCTTTTTATTTTAGATGTAACTCTGGATATAGTGATATATATTTTCTTCTGCACTTTTCTTCAATTGCATGACTGAGCTGCTGAGGGGGATGAGGGAAGTCCTGGACATTCTAAAGAGAAAAGAAACATATAGACATACAAAAGCTGCCTATTTTTAAGAATTTGAGAACTGGTGTTTACTTCTGTTTTTCAAATTGTGACTCACCAAATAGGCTTCTGATAAGTCAGGTTGGGGAAAACAGTTTAATAGTCAATTCCAGAAATTCGTAATGCTAAAATATGACAAGTACTGATAAAAACTCCTCACCCTGGATACTCCGAGCTGGCCAAGGCTCTCCCTGCCCAGGAGAAATTCCCTGGGTCCCTGGGCATCACTTGCGGTTGGTGGATGGCGGAGAAGGATTTGCAGCCCCTGAGTCTCATCTGGCTCACCTGGAGCCTCTCAGGGCCAAGGCAGGACATGGTGGCCATGCAGCCCCTGGCTCCATGGCCTCTTCCTGAGGCTTCCCAGCTGCTCACTCTGCAGATGACCACAACCTTGGGTCCAAGAGTCCACACGAGTGGACAGTCAAGGTGATCACTACTAGGGATGGAAGTGTGAGACTAAGGTGTGGTTAGTTTATCCTCACTCAGTCACCGGAGGTCTCTCAACTGCCCAATCTTACAGTTTTCCCCAAGGAAAGAACACATGTGTGAGTACGGATGGGATCTGTTATGCCTGCACTGCCACCTGTGCCAGGTGGGCAGAGGGCTTTTAGCTGAGCTGCTTTAACCTCTCAGTTTCATTTGCTTTTGTCTGCTCAGCGCAAGTGGATAAAAATGCTGTGCATCTCACAGAGTGCAAGTGAGAATTATTGTTTGCGAAAGACACAGAACAGAAAGAAAGCTGCTTGTCCTTAGTTTATTATTTGTGCTATTGTTGCACGTCACAAATAAGACAGCACATGCAAAGTATTTTGAAAATGATACATCTAAAAGCAGGTTTGTTATCATAAGTAGTGCCATTTAGCTTCAGCAGATAGAGTGGGGTTCTGCATTCATCTCTCGCTCCGACTCCTTGAAAGTGCAGCCCGTAGTGCAACTGCCGCAGCGAGCGGACGTCGGCTGCCGTCCCCCTTGTGTGACACCGCATGGCTGCTCCTCTCAGGGTCTGCTGCACATGGGGACTGAGCAAGTCCTGGGAGGAGCAGAGTTGTAGGAACCACATAAGACTTGCACACTTCCTCACCACCGCCAGCTGCCTGCGGTGACATCAGCTCTCCTGTGAAACAGCCACGCGGTGCACAACAGCCCTGTGAATCTCAGGGGTGGGTGATGTCCTTGGTCGTTCACCCAGTCATTTTGAGGGACATCGATCTTGGGGAGCCAAACTGAATCTCTTGAGCGATAACCAGTGCTTGGTGGCGATAACCAAGCAGGCAGAGCTACAACAGTTCAGCCAAATGGACACAGCTTGCAGGAGCAGATCCACAAAGCATTGGCCACAATGGACCCTGGATCTGGACAAACTGTTTAAAAAACCAAAGAAGGTTCAATAAAATGAGTGCCAAATGGAACAGTCGGTGTGCCTCAGCCTCTCAGGGTCTGGCAAGCAGTTTATAAACTGCCTGTGAAAAACAGGGCTCTTCTTATGTCCTCCCAGGAAATTCAGACGGTCAGATTTTTATTATTCTCTCACATTATATTACAAAAAATTCCAGGAATTGGAGATGTGTGGGATGCATGAATTTCCATAAGAAATCTTGTGAGCCTTCAAAATACAGTTCTCAGTAAAAAACATCATCTTCAGAACACCCCTAACACCATGTGCTCATTTTTAGGGCCTTCTCAGCGTGCTTGCTGTGGGCTGGCTCTGTCCCGGGCGGGTGTTCGCCTCTGAGCTGTCAGAGGAGTTAGGCAGTGTGTGCCCTTCCAGCGCAGATGGAGCCTTTCTCTCCTTCGGGATGAGGAGAGCAGGCTAGAGAGGTGGCGACGAGGCCCCAGCACAGCACTGTGCACACCACACGCTGGCGACTCAGCGTCAGGACCCGCTGAGAAGGGGCGCCTGACCCCTGCACCCCGACAAGACCGAGGGCTGCTGCTGTGTTTCCAGGTCAGGCCCCAGTGGGCACCCATTCGCATATCTGATTCACTCAGCAGCAGGAGTCCAGGTTCTGGGTTTTACTGCTGAGATTTCTACGTCCTGTTTCCTCCTATCATGAGCAGTGACACGAACATTTGAGCGCTGAGGGAACTTTGTGAGAAACACACAAAGCAGATTCCATGAAATGCACAGCGTTTGACCTCACAAAGCCTGGTAGGAATTTTGGGATGCATTTTACGTTCTCCCCAAAACTTTGCTTCTCTTTAATGTTAGGGGTTATAATATTATTAGCACATAAATTTTGTACAAATGATTGCATTTAATTTTTTAGCTTTTATTTTTGTGAATGCAGGTGTACATTCTGTTCGTGGACGGTGATTACCTACCTTGTGGGGTGTGGTACATCTTTCCCTGTGCACCCCTACTTGGCGTAGACGTACATGATATACCACTGTGCGCTGAGGGCGGACAGCAGGTGTGTGCAGCTCCCTCTGCTGCTCTAGGCCACTTGCCTAGGCATGTTGCCAGGCCACCTCCTGGACTTATCTGGGGACAGCCTATCTGGGCTCTCAGAGCACCACACGTCAGGAACAGGGCTCTGTCCATAAGGATATTTGGGAAGAGAAGACGCACTTGGCTAACCTGAAAGCAACACAGAATTGTCCAGGTGACCAACAGCCATTTTACCTCACTAGTTTGGAGAAAATTTACTGAAAATAAAACAAAAAAAAAAAAGAAAGAAAAAGAAAATGAGAATAACCATGTAGTTATCTGGAGTGGTCCTGAACAGGACAGTGTCCCCTGCAGCCGGACACTGCTCTTGGTGCCAAGCTGGGCGCCAGTGTGCAGGGTGCCTGGGCATGGCCCGGGCTGGAGGCTGAGGAGCAGAGTCGGCTGGACAAGCGCGTGGCCAGGGCGCAGTGTTTGTCAGCAGAAGCCTGAGAACATGTGCTTGGGCCTGAAATGCCTACGATACCAAGTGAAAGGACTTTGAGGATGGCCTGGGCTCTTTCTTGAGGAGGGATGGCTTGATGAGGCCTAGGCCGGATTTTGTCTCTCGATGTCCTCAGTCTAAATACAGCTGGGCCACAAGTAATCTAAATGTGGTGGGTAAGAACAGACAGAAAGGTAAGTCACAAAGTTATTTTTCTTTTTTAAATTAATACTATGGATAATTTAAATATAAAGAGAATTATCTGCACAAATTTAACGGAGAAACTGAACATCAGAGAATGCAACTGAAATAATCATGGCGTTGTAAATGGTACAAGATCATTACACAGCATTGTAAACGATTAAGCAGGGATTTGAAAGCAGAGTTGGAATGCTGACTTTCCCATTCTTAAGGCTCTATGCTTCTGTTTCTGTAATCTCTACATCACCAGAGATCACGTTAGCTTCCCAGCTTTCCTTTTTTGGGGTACCAGGGAATCTAACTCGGGTTCTTGTGCTTGTGAGGCAGGCGGCAGAAACACTGAGCTAATTCCCTGGCCCCCAGCTGTACATTTTTTAGAACAGAATTGTAATTTTTAAATAACTCAGTTATGAGATTGGAAGGGCCACAGAGTAAAGAATTCAATTTTTCAAATTCATAAAAATCACAAGCCATTTTTCCCTACAAAGTAATATATGTTCCTATAATAGTTCCAAGCAGTTTGGAAGATTGTAAAATGGAAAGCAAGACATCATCACAAACTTCAAATAACTTTGTTAATGTTTTCTTATGGATTCATCCAAAAATTTTATTAGCATTGCATTTTAGCACAATATCAATGAAGCAGGCATATTGTTTTATGATTTTATTTTTCCATATAACAATGTACCTAATAATCTTGAGCACATTTCTACAAATATACTTACTGACATATATGTATATGTGTATATATGTGTGTATATATATATATATAGCTATATATGTTTATTTCTGCTAAAAGGAATGCTGAGTTTAAAACTGCTTTATGTATATCCAAGAAATCAGAGAATAAAGTCCTGTGTGCTCTATATTTTGATAGCAGAATGCATTCCAAGTGTGTTTGGATTTCCATACACAGTAGATGAGAGCATTACTTCCTTAAGTATGACAGATATGTTCCTAGACATGACCATGCATGTTTAATGCTGCCAAGCAGGCCTAAATGTCTTATATAGTGCAGTTTTTGTTTGTTTGTTTGCTTTGTATTTATGTACCAGGGATCGAACTCGGGTCCTTGAGCTTGCCAGGCAGGCGGCAGAAGCACTGAGCCAAATCCCTGGCCCTTATATACTATAGTTTTGTCCATTAGTTCTTTTTTCCCTTTGTACAGTTCATAGCCCCCAAACATACCCAATCCACATTATATAATGAAAATAATTTTTATGTGAACAGTGTTTTTATAAGTTATAAAAAATCTTTTTGTATATTGTTTGGTGAATAAACCTACTATGCTCCTTATGTATAGTAAAAATGAAAGTAATAACATTTTTATAAATTTTTATTTTAATTGTATAT